CCCTGCCCGGTATAGCTCACGGCTTCACTGAGTTACGCAAGCCCCTTCGCCACGACAAGGCAGTGATCCATGAAGGGGAGAAATCAGGTAGTCCTTGCTTAACGACCATAATAGGGACTGCAAAATTTGTTGTTAAGCGGGGTGGTTGTTAAGCGAGTTGTGCCTGATTTTACGACCTTTTTTTGCAGTGGTCATTAAATGAATCACCATGGTTGTTAAGCAAATCATGCGGTTTCCCCATTGATTTTGCTTGCTGGAAGCCAGCTGGGAAGGTCACAAATGGGGATCATGTGACCCTGGGACGCTGCAACCGTCGTAAGTGTGAGCTGGTTGCCAAGTGCGCCCAGATTGCAATCACATGACTGTGGGGATGCTGCAATGGTTGTAAGTGCGAGGACCGGTTGTAAGTCCCTTTGTTCAGTACTGTTGTGACTTCAAATGGTCACTAAACAAATGGTTGTTAAGTGAGGACTACCTGTAGATGTGAATGGCTTGCTTGATGTGTTAATGATTACACTTTGTTATGGGGTTGCTTTCATTGGATCACAGAAGGCCGTTTCTGCAATGGGAAGGGCTAAAGATGGTTTCCGTAATGAGCCTTGATAGCTGGTGGCTGTTTCAAGAAGTAGTTGGAACGAAGGCAGAAGTCTCGGGAGGTGATATCTGTGTGTGCTTTACTGTCTGCTGGGAAATTCTAGATTTTAAAAGAAGTTTCTTACTTTGGGCAGGTTTATGGCTGAATGCGGCAATTCCCGATTCTTAGAGCATGTTGGAAAGGCTGATGAGATTCATGGCTTGCCCAAGCAACGGCGAACAATGACAGCTCAGCGGGGAGCTACGGTTCTGCCCTTCATACCTGCGCCTGAGAGAAGGTGGCTTTAAGGGGAAGTAATGAGAAAGACCATGATTTTGTCTGGATGGAGAATTGGATATTGACTCCTGTTTTCTGGCAGGTGGCTCTCTGTGAGGATTTTTGTCTCCTCTACTTTCCGGGACATGCATGGTGAACGTGACCTGCTTATCCGCTCTGTTTTTCCCGAGCTTCGAGCGCGAGCAGCCCAGTTCTGCTTAGCGATCCAGGAGATTGACTTGCGCTGGGGGATCACAGAGCACGAGAGCCGGTGGAGCAAGTATGTGGGGTGCTTGTGGGGAGGGAGGGGGTCTGGCTTCCCCTTAAAGTCCTGTTCCTGTTCCTAATGTTCTGAAGGCTGCTTGAGATGGTACCTGCCAAAAAGCGTTTGCCTGAATAGTTTGTTCTTCCCATCCTTAATTTATTTTCACTTTGAATGACGTACGTTGATCTCTTTGTTGAGATTATTTTGTCTGGCTTTGTTATAATCGTTTCATTTGGCTTGCATTATCACTGTCATGACCATTGATTCTTGTATCGCAACTTGGATTAATTAATGGTTGTTTTATTTCTATTTGCTCTGTTGTTTTTAACTGCATGTTTTTGTTTTACAAACCTCTGGGGGTCTGTAGAAATAATAATGATAATGAGACCACCACCCTGGTTCCAGGAGAGGGGATATATTAAAGATTAATATACTGATTACCGTATATACTCACAGATAAGCTGAGAATTTTAGGTGCCAAAATACACCTAAAAAATCAGGTTTGGCTTATCCACTGATGGGCTTCTCTGTGAGTATATATGGTAATACTTTTTTAAAGTACCCATATTTCCTGTATATACTGGCATATATGGCTATCTGCAGATAAGCCAACCCTCAAATTTTTAACCAAAATACCATGAAAATTGCAGGTCAGCTTGTGGGTTAAAGTTTGAGGGTCAGCTTCTGCCACCATCCGGTACTGGATATATCTGGACTAATGTCCAGTATGGGCTGCCTGTGGTCTTCTGGATATTGCTAGATCCGTCATTTCTGGCCATCAGCCATGCTAGCAGGGACTGATGGGACCCGGAGTCCAGGATACTCCGCAGTTGGTTGACTACTGATCCCTCTTTCTTGGTCTGAGCATTTGACGACAAGTCCTTTGTGAGAAGTATAGAAGCCGAGCCTGTTTCACCCCCTTGTGTGACGAGAGAGGAGCACCCACTCAAGTGCCCTGTCTATAACTTCTCACCCTGATTTGCTCTTTCTCCTGGAGCCTCTTTTGAAACTGCCACTGTGTAAATAAAGAAGCGCAACTTCCACCTCTCTGTGATGTGCTGAGAGACCAAAGTCTGTGAAATAGATCTCTGTGTACGGCTAGAAAGAGGGTGGGATTGAGGCAAAACTGAGGAGCGAGAAAACAGAGACTTGCCAGGGTTTTCTCTTTAGGCAGGTGGAGTTGTGCCTGTCAGAAGTCTCACAGAGTTTCCTCTTCATCGGAATCCTCGGGGAGCGGTATGGCCACGTCCCGAAAGAGACTTCCTTGCCAGATGAACCGCAATATGAATGGGTGAGAGACGATGCTGACGTGAGCTTTGTGGTGTTGATGACCCAGAAGATGCTAAATGGAAACATCCATTCCGAAAGGAAAAATGAGCATCAACTGGAGCCCTGTGTGTGGAAGAGGCAGCGTTTTAGGGCTTGCCTGTTGGTGGGGGGGGAATCACATCGGCAAAGATTTGCATAATGTGCATTTTATCAGAGATCTGGTGGATTCAGTGGCCCCAGCAATTGGTAGGAAAACGCTCTTGGAAAACAACATAAAAGCAGTATTTTGCTGGCCCCAAAGGCTTAATTAGGGTGGACAGGAAAGATGATGAAGGGAATCAGGGCTGAACGTCATCGAAGAGAGCGTAATTGGGAAACAGCTGTTGGGATGATTCTCAGAGTAAGAGCTACTGTTTGAATATTGTTTCTGCAGGTGAAAAAGTACCCAGCAGGCCGCTCTATCACTGAGTTGGAGGCTGTTCAGTTCCTGAATGGTAATAATGACCCCACGGCAGGATCTAGGGCATTCTTCTATCTCCGAGAGCCAGACTTTCTTGGGTAAATTGTTTTTATTAATTAGTTTGCAGATCCTATAGACCAGTTTCAACTTACTTAAATTAACTTAACTGCTCTAATATTTGTAACTAAAAAAAAAAAAAAACGGAAATTCTTGCAGAAGGGAGTAGGCTGCCTTGACTGATTTTAAAAATAGCTGAGCAAGGTAAAACTTGGTTAATACTTGGATGGGAGACCACCAGGTAAGCCTTCATTGGGAAGCGGGAACAAGAGCATCCTGGAAGAAGGATGTGGTCATGCAGTCAGCAGGAACTGAGCTCAACTTAAGGAGGAGCTGAGAACTGAGATAGGGTTTGTTTATCTGTTTTGTAACTTTATATTTCTTTGGTAAGAAACGATGGAAAGAAGCAAAATGTTTTGGAAAGCAATTGGATGGGCTTGGATGGCGTACTAAGCTGGTGCGTGGCATTTAATAATAATTAAATTATTATTATTGCAGTAGCAACGTAGCTTTCAGACCTGTGGGGTGGGGGGGGGCAGCTGACCCAATCAAAGCGCTGGCAGCAAATTTTGTGGCTTCTCATGAGAACACACCTAGTAAATCTGGCTGTGAAAGAGCCTGAGATTTTGCTGAATGTTGGCCCACATATAGATATTTTCCTTTCCAGGGCTAGGACCGTTCTCTTTCGAATGTTGCGATCATCAGAAAAATTCTGTGTTTGATGTGAAATGCTTTTTGGATGACCAAAGCAAAGAGTTGCTAATTGTCAAGCTTCTTGCCTCTTAAAAGTAGGCTGCGCGTTGGTGACAAAATTCAGATGAATTTCCACTTAAAAGAAATTGCATCCTGCTTCTGGTGGCATAGTTGTGTGACTGATAACCTTGCACTTTGTCTCCAAACCTTCCACACCTTCAAATGGTGTTTTTTAATCCCAAAAGCAATTCTCACAGAGAATGGATTGCCTTAATCATAGATTTTGAGTCTCTTCCTCCTCCTCCTCCTCCTCCTCTCTCTCCAGCTCCGTGCCAGAAGTGTGGAAAAAAGATTTTGCAGCTGAATCAGAAGAAGCTGCCCAGCGCATGGCAGACTTGAAGGAACATCTTGGGAAACATGGAAACCTAGCTGCCTTTAGCAAGTAAAGGAACAGATGCTTGGGCATGTATTATGATAGCTGTTGAGTAGGTGGGAGAGCTTAATGTGTCCTAACCTGAATTTTTTTTTGCAGCTACTCCTGTCAGTGGGGTGGACTAGCCCAAGGTCAGCCTTATGTGAAAGGTCTTGAAGATTTTGGCAACAGAGTCTTGCAGGATGTATGGAAATGCCTCCAGCACCATTTTATAGAGGTACCTGCAGCCCCTTTCAGAGCCCTGCTAGTCAAGCTTCAGGGATGTTTCAAAACTTGCCTTGACTTTATTTCTCTCACATCTCAACTTAGGGACGTGAATTCAAATTCACAGCAGACTCAGAGGAAGAGGAAGGAAATGTTCTGCAAGAATCTTTCCAGGAATTGCAGCAGAGGAGATTTTGTGCCCGGGCAAAGCTTTTGAACACCACAGCTGCTCAGCTGCGCGGTGGCAGGCTTTACGTTGTGAGCGGTGAGCCTGGCCAAGGAAAGACGGTTTTCTTGGTGAGCAAAGGGAAGGTTCAAGCAATGGGGGAGGTCTGGAGAAGTTGGGGTGAGATGTGTAAGCTTAGTATATGTTCTGGGGTGGCCAAAATGGTACCACCTGTATGCAAGGGGAAATATTAGCAGTTTGGGGTGGGGAGGGAAAGACTCGAATTTGCAGAAGTATTCCCCGGATCATGAAAAATATAGGACGTTTATTCACGCTAGCTCTGAAGATGCAGGAGAGAGAAAGGATCTTGTGAAAGAGCGCGTGGTTTATTCATCTCTGAGGAAGATGGACTTTTGCTCCCTTGTATTTTGTCAAAACTGAAGTTGCTGGCCTGAAATGCTACCCAGGAGTGAATTCTTCAATGGGGAGAGAATGGTGGCTGGGATGGCGTTTGAAGTTGGCCACTTTAGTTCCAGGTTTGAGGGAATTATGGAAGGGTCATCTTGGCTAGGACCCATGGCTGAAGCCTTCTCTCCCTTTCTTTCCTTCTCCCCAGGCAGCGCTTGCAGAGAAGCTCAGGATGATAGTCCCGCAGGAAGGAGAAGGCTCTACTCCCCGTTACCACGTTGTGGCCCATTTCACCAAGGCGGGACCCAAGCAGGCCGAAGCCCAAGTCGTGTTGGGTCATCTCTTTGCCGTGCTGAGAAAGTTGTTAGAGAACCCTCCGACCCCACCCAGAAGCTACAGGTTGGCACAGGCCTAATTTTGCAGAGCAGGGCTTGAGTGGGCAGATGCCGAAGAAGGACGGAATGAGAAGATTACTTCAGGACTGCCCTCAGCACTCCAAGTGTGACCCAACTACAAAACATAGAACTCCCAGTCAGTTAGCTAACATTTTGGTGTTTCCAGTATTTGTAGAAGATTTTAGGAAAGGCTGTACTAGAGAACAAATTGAAACTTTATCAGTGAAGAGGAGGAAGGAGATCACTGTTTTCCCACTTGGGCTCGAGATTACGTATATTTTTTGGGTGGGGAAGGGGGTTAGAGTCGCAAACCTGCACTTACAGATCTGTGTTCCAGTTGATAACATGTAGGGGCCAAAGTCAAATATTATCCATCCTGTTTTGTGTCTACTGGTTGCCCACCTTGTGATTGTTCTCTGTATAAAGCAGCACATGTATTTCCGATCAAAAATCGAGTATGCCTGTGCTGAAGAACAGTTATTAAACTGCTTCGGGGATTGTCTGTGTGGACATGCTGTTGTTGTGTCACAGGTGGTTGCCAGGAGCACCTAAGTGGTCTAACATCCAGCCCATCCTCTGGTTCTCACCAGTCTTCCCTGTCTTCTCAAGCGGAAGTGTTTTGGGCTGAATATCTACTTCCAATCACCACTGCTAATGTAAACGTAAATCACGCCTAGGCAATTCTTCATCGTTTTGGCGTGGCGGGGGTAGTGGATTTGTTTCGTTTCCTATGCAGTGAATATGGAATTATCCTGCTCTTGCAAAAAGGAAAGAGATTTGTTTTTTCTTACAGAGGGCTGGTGGCCCAGTTTGAATGCCTTCTCTACACGGTGGCCAAGTTGCTGAAACGGGGCCAGACTTTGGTGCTTTTGATCGACGATGCTGACTTGATCCATGCCACTGGAGGAGAGCTGGTATCTGACTGGCTGCCTGAACAAATGCCCCAGGTAAGGTTTAATTGCCCTCCCTATTCTTCCTAGGCCTTGGCACCTTTAGCTGACCCACATGTAGACAGTCTGAGTCTAAGCCTTCCTTGGTTCCGTGTCTCTGTGCAGCGAGTCAGCCTGGTTCTCAGTGTCTCTGTGGAGTCAGCATTCCTTGAATCTCTTAAGCGACGGAAGAATGCCATCTTCATTCCCCTTGAGCCTTTGGCCCTTCTGGACAGAGCTGCCATCATCCGCAAAGATTTGGCCCTGTATGGGAAAAAGTTGGAGGAGTCGGCTTTTAATAACCAGGTAAATGGCAAATCTGCAATCTAATCATGGCTACCCTTGAAACGTCTGCACAAGCACAACATCTGAATAACCATCATACAATTCTTTATTCAGGGCTGCCTCACTTTCTCTTGTGAAGAAGAGTCTTCATGGAATGGAAAAAAACATGCAAGAGTTCTTAGAGTAGGGTTGAGAGACAGGCAGGGAGGGAGCGTGTTTGCTAAGTACTATTCCGACCGTGAAATCTTAATGCGGTGTAGTCAAGTAGACCCTTGATTTTTTCTCAGGATGAAGCAAAAGAAGGATGTGCAGTTACTAAGCTCTAGAGTGGAAAGGGGTTGGGACTGGGCATGCCTCTGTTGGTAGCCATGAGGTCCTAGGAAAATATTGGTTTGAGTTAAGACACTGATAGGGAGCAACACTCTCTCACCACCTTGTTAATACCTCCTTTAACTCAAAGGGGTACATTTTCCTAGGAGCATACAGATACCAACAAGGGCAGTGAGTGCACCCCCTCTGGAGCTGCAGAGCTGCCTACCCCTAAAGCCAAATAAACAACACAGTGCGAGTTAAACGCTGGGTGTTTGTGATGGAATGGTTTGGTGAAGGCTGCGCTCGGGGAGATAAGCATTTCTTGCTGTTGATGTTGTAGCAGGGCTGCCACCAACAACTGTGGTGTCAAATTTGCCCCGTGGGGATCCGTTGCCATGATTCCAATTCCCCCCTCTTGATGGTAGTAGAGTCTGGCAAGATTGATGCCAGGTTCAGCCCAAAGAACTCCACGAGACAGTACAGGTCTAGTTCAGTAGCTTTTATTAGCTTTCACCCACAAGACAGAATCTTGCCAGACTGAATCTAAACTTCCCAAGCCAGCAAGCAAACACCACGAATTCCTTAGGGTGGTGCCAGTCTCATCCTCTTCACCTTCCCACACTCCTGCTGGGGGCTAAGGAAATGCTTATCTCCCCAAGCGCAGCCTTCAAACCATTCCGTCACAGTGTTCTTCATAATCGATGTCCTGTTCCTTTGGAGGGCAGCGAATCAGCCAGTGCAGATCTGGGATTTGCTAAGAGGTCTTTCTTAAGCATTTTTCTTACAGTGGAAAAGAAATGGGTTGGGGCACATGATGCAGAGCCCTCATAATGCAGTGGCCATCATGGAAACCTGGGTTCAAATTTCCATTCATCCCTGAAGTTCATTGGGAGATCTTAGGCTAGTTAAATACTCATAGTCATAGTCTTAATTTGGAGGGACTGGGAGAAAGAGTGGGATGCAACTCAACAAGGGGTGTCTAGTTCCACATCTTGGTGCCTTCCAGATACTATATATGGGCCTGAACTCTTTGTCTTCCCTGGTTTTGCTAGCTGGGATTTATGGGAGTCCTTGACACAGGCTTAGGGAGCGGGAGAGGCAGAAGATTGAAGACAGCAATGGAAAGACACGGTGGGTCCTGGGACCCCATCTCTTCTCCCCACAGATGCGGCTAGTGCTGATGAAACGTGGCTCTCAGCAACCTTTGTACCTGAGCTTGCTAACCCAGGATCTGCGGCTTTTTGCCCTATACGAGAAGGTGAGGGGTTCCTTAGAAGAACTGTTAGGGGTAGGGTGGATTGGAGAAACAAGGCTTCTGCAAATCTCTGAACCTCAAGAGGTTTCATCAGTCATTCTTTTTTTCCCCCCACCCTTCTGGCCTCAGCTCTCGGAGCGGATCCAGAAACTTCCTGTCTCTCTTCCGCTGATGATGCAACACTTGTTGGGTTGTTTGGAGCAAGATCATGGGCTAGAGCTGGTCGCTGTCACTCTGGTGTCTCTCTGGGTCAGCAGAGATGGTAAGTTGCAAGGGAGTGTTAAATGAGAATGTTCAGTGGGACTGTTGGCTCTGGAGACCGGGTGCCAATGGCCATAAATAGCCACCAATAGTCCTTTGGTGGGTGGGAAGGAGGGAAGGCCATTGGAGGTGATGTGTTCTTCCAGGCAGTGTTGTGGAGGTCTTGAACTTGAACTTGACACCCAGAGATCTAGTTTCAAGGCTTCTTGACTGGGGAAGTAACTGGGTGGCTTTGGCCCAACCTCACAGAGTTGTGGGGAGTTTAAAATTAAGGGAGACCTTCATGTCATCTTCCTTACATTGACAGAAGAAAAGATAGAGCTATATAGATATAATAAAGATGAGGAAGCTTTGATGCAAAACATCTAGCAGACCCTAGTCTGCTCCATTCAAAGATTATTCTGCCTCTGACCCCTGCAGGCCTAATGGAACGAGATCTCTATTCCATCCTTGCTATCTGGAAGGAATTGAAGGGGGCCAGTCTAACTTTGGAAAAAGCCATTACTGCTGGAAGATACGTTGGCAGCTTTCCCACAGCCCTCTTTTTTGACCTTCTGCGGAACCTGAGGGGGTGAGGGACTCATTTTTGGGGGGTTCTGGCTGAACAAAGATAATTCTCCCCTATAGAGTGTAAGTTGCTGTGTGTGGTAGATGTGCAGATGAGGGGTCTGCATGTGAAGTGGGAATTAGATTAGGGATGCTGTCTCTGGGCTGCATAAATATGAACAGCCACCAGATGGCAGAAGAGAGAGATAGAGAACCCAAACTGCTGCTCCTAAATAACCATCTGGAATTTTGCAACTCAACTTTGGCAGTTCTAGATAGATTGGGCTGATCCTCCGGCCCCGCATCTTGCATCTAACATGGCCAGTGTCTCTAGAAGCCACAAGCATAAGCCAGTGTGACTCCCTGGCTTGTTTGTCAGTGGCATTCAGGAAGTGTGCATTGCATGTTGGTCTACTAGTAGCTTAACGTGGCTTCTTGGACCACTGAGATGATCCTTTCACCTCTGCTTAGCCAGGATAGTTGTCCTGGGAGCTAAGGGTTTTCAACAACTACCAAAGGGTTAAAGAAGCTTCTCCTTGGGTGGGTTGGGGGCATCTAATTTTCCACTGACTTCACTGAGTGACTTTGGGCCCAATTCTTGCCTCTCAATCCGGCGTATGTCTTATAGTTGTGGAGGGGAGACTCTCATGGGTGTCTAGAGGAGCAGCAGCGTACAGATTTAAAAAATAAATTCAAGGCCAACCTGAGGGTGAGGGCTGAAATTCTCACATAAATTCTTTATTTACTGAGGCTGTTGTTTGATCCTGAATTGTGTGACACTGATTTTTTTTGGAGGGTGGGAAGTAGGAGACAAGATCCAACTCTCTGCTCTTTCTCCATAGTCTTCTTGGGGCTTGTGGTTCCCAGTCACAGCTCCCAGGTTCTCGGCTGCAGCTTTGTGGCAGCCCCATGAGGACGGCCATAGAACGGCGCTACTTGAAAAAACCAGGTCTGGACCACACAGCCCATGTGCTCTTGGCAGGTAACAGTTCCTTCATTCTTTTGGCAGAACATGACATGCTTTGCCTCTGTAGGGTCACTCCATTCTCTCCTAGTGTTTTCCAACCTTCTTAATCTTCAGCAGCATTTAAATAAAGGTAGGTCGCAATTCGTGCAAGTTTAAATAATGCGATATTTGATTTAGTGCAAATTGTAAATTGATGCCAGGTTGCATTTAATGCAACCCAAAATTCAGTTAATTTGAGGCTAGTGCATGCCCAATTGAAGCTAGTACATGCCCAATTGTGGTTGGGGTTTAAGATGCTGCTAATCTTTGTCTCTGCAAAATGGAGAAAAGGAAGATTCTATCAGAAAGAACAGTAAGTTTAAAAAAGAAGAGACTCATAATTACAGCAAAAAAATTGATGTAATTGAACGACATAATGCTAAGTAGGAAGAGGTACTCGAATGCCTGAATCTACGGTAGAATTTTTATTTTTTATTTTGCTTTCTCTAACTACTCTGTGACTTGTTAACCATAAATTTAAAGTATTTTTGTTTTATCCTTTACTGTAATATTTAATTAATATACATATGAAATTTTATGTTTAAAATTTTTAATTGCCTATTTCCGTCGAGCTGGAACTAATTTCTGTGTTTTCCATAGAAATGTCACCTTGAATAGTGGGAATTCGAATAATGTGACCATTTCGTGGGATTCATTAACTGCACTAATTGAGACTTACCTGTACCTGTGTTCGATTGTGCTATCATTTAATAGATCTTTGCAGCACCCCAGCCAGCCTCTAGAGGGCAGCAGTGTTTTTCATGGCGGGAGAGGGTGTTGAAATTCAGCCTGTAGGGGGCAGTATGAGCAGTTCCCTAATGTTTCCTCCCCTGTAGCTTACTGGTGGAAACTCTCAAATCCAGATGGTTCCTGGAACTTCCAGAAGTCTGAGGCAGAGGCCCTGATTGCCCTGCCATACCACTTGGTAAGTGACATGGATGCTCCTAAGCAACAACTTGGCCTGTTAGGTACTTCTAAGGAACACATTTGTAATGGATGTCATTTGAAGACTCTTCAATGATCCTGAGAAGCTGAACTCTTGGTCTGAGTAAAAGCAGTTCCTGGAGACTTCAATTTCTAGTCCTCACGGGTATGGAGAAAAATGGGTAAAAACAGGCAGAGAAATTCTGTGCAGATAAGGAAATGGACCTGCATCTTTCAGGGAAAAATGTCCATTTTAAAACAAATTCTTTTACATACGCAAGTCTTTATTAGTCTCTTTTAAAGTTCAATCCCTCCCAAAGCAACATACAAAAAAGAGCAACTTCAGCGAGCTTTTAGAGCAGCTGTTCTGAAATGTGTATGCTAAATATTACTTCTGTTAAAGGGGGTGTTATAAAGCAGAGCAGAAAATCAAGGGACGAAGGGAAGGGAACAGGGGACTGGGTTGGCCAGAATTCTTGTGCCTCCTAGTCTTAATGCTAGGCATCCAGAAAGGGTCCCTTGGTTATGGATTCTGCGCAGGATACATAACACAGTCCTTAAGCCATTTAAAAGTTAAGATTAGCATTTTGAGTTATACCTAGAAATGATGCAGCTTGTGCAAAATATTCAATAAAATACTCAATCTCTGGCTTCTTCCGTCATCCGGGCTTCTGCCCTTCGTGCCGACTACTTTGCATGTGCATACTTTTACAGTAACACGTTTAATTCATTTAAATAAATAAATTTGCAAAGGCATGCTGGGGTATGTTCAAGGGTGGACACTAGATTGCAGGAGGTTTGATCTATAACCCGTCCATTCCAGTGGTACGGCCTTGCAGATCGCATAGCACCTTCCCGGCAATTTGACTGCCGCCCAGAGTCACTGGTCTGAGATGGGCGGCTATATCAGTTGAATGAATGAATGAATGAATGAATGAGGATGCTCTAAGGCAGTGTTTCTCAACCTTGGGAGCTTGAAGATATGTGGACTTCTGGCTGGGGAATTCTGGGACTTGAAGTCCACACATCTTCAAGTTGCCAAGGTTGAGAAACTCTGCTCTAAGGATTTGCCTTCTTGAATTATAACTGTTCTTCCTCAGGTCCAAAGTGGGCATTTGGACATCCTGGCATCTTTCCTGACTAATTTAAAGGTTGTCAGGGCTCATCTTCATCTGGGCCTCCTCCACGGCCTCTCTGAAGCCTACGCACTCTATGGTGAGCCATTGTCAGATTGAAAGTAGGAGGTCAAAAAGCATCATTTCCCCCCCTGGAACTAGGTGGGGAATCACAGACTTAGAAAGGCGTTGCCATCTTTTGGCTAAGATGGAAAAATTGCAGGCTGGGTTTAGGGGTGGGTCTTGCAGTGGGCTGGATTGTGAAACGGTTCTGTAGAAATGCAAGTGCCGTAAAGGGGACTGAAAACGTGAATCTGTCCATTGTCTTCTGTAGCAACAGCTGCTGGCTCAGAGCTCAACGAGACAGTCAACTTGTTCTCTGACTTTTTGCAAAGAAACTTTGGGCTGCTTTCCCAGAATCCCCTACTGCTCCTGCAGCAGGCGGCTAATGAACCCAGTTCCTCAGACCTCTGCTTACAAGCCCAAGTGGCGCTGTGGAAGTGCGGGAAGCCTTTCCTGAAATGGGTTAACAAGCCTGAGAGGGCCCGGCAGACCAAGAGGTAATTCTACAAAGGAGGAATGGGGTCCTTTCCTTCCCAGGCATCTAACTAAGTTTTTTTTCCCCTTTTACTTTTACTTTACAGTCTTGTTTTGAACCTTCCTTCCACTCCTTCTTCTGTTTCTCTTGCTCCTTCGGGAAAACTGGCCATCGTGGGTACCGTGGAGGGGACATTGCACCTCGTGGAGATGAATACTGGACAGGTAGAAGTGATCCAAGTTGTCAGCAATGCTTTGGCTCCGGAGGCATTCAGGCTATGTGGTGGTGTTCGCTTAGAACAGTGTTGTCCAAACTTGGCCACTTTAAGATGAGTGAACTGGCTGGGGAATTCTGGGAGTTGAAGTCCACTCATCTTAAAGTGGCCAAGTTTGGACAACACTGGCTTAGAACATGTCTGCAATTCTTTAAAGCAATTGTGTGTTTGTGCAGGACTGCACAGCTGCCTTGCAATCTTGGGAACAGAAACAGCTGGTTTAAGGAGCTGACGAGAGATGCTGTGTGTGTTCCCCCTGTGTACTCTGAAAATCCTTTCAGTCTTTTTTAAAAAATCATTTGTAATTAATCTCTTTAAAAAAAGAAGAACGAGAAAACAAACAAGCAAAAAAAATGATGCAAAGATATAATATCAGTAAGTGGACGAATAAGTTATAGAAGATGTACAGTTACTATTCCGTATATTGTTGAAGAAAAGTTAACCATAGAAAACAAATGTATTATATTTAACAATAAGGAAAAGGGTTTTAGAGATCTTTTTGAATCTCTTGAGCCAAGTGTCAAAGTCTCCATTGTTTTGTTATTTGAAGATACCCTTAAAAAAGGAGGAAAGAAGAAAAACGACTAAAGGCATCCTTTTTATCTTTGAAATTGAAGCCCAGCACAACTTTGCTGCTTCATAGCTCTTTGCCCAAATCCACACACACACGAAATGTTTGCATCAGATGAGCATAGTTGGATGAGGTGAATGGTTAGATCTGATTTGTGACTGCAAAATCTCCTCCTTCCAATGATTTAGGAACAGAAATCTTTGTTGAGCTCATGTGATGGAATCTCGGCCTGCGCGTTCTTGTCAGAAACAACAGTTTGTCTCGGGGCCTTCAATGGACGGTTTGAACTTTGGAGTCTGAGAGAAGGATGCAGGTAATGGGGGCTGGGGGGATTTTTTTTTGTACCTCGAATAATGGAAGAAGCACAGGATAGCAGTCGACCAGAGCTGGAGAGCAGGGAAAAAGGATATGCCTTCCATAAAATTATGAGACTGGAAAGTGTTGATAGTTGTTTTACAAGAGGCAGCCTATATTTGCAAAATTCAAAGTAGAGCTGTAGCTTAAATTGTTGGGGTGGGCAACTTGACTGTCTTGAGCTGCCTGTAGACCCTGGATCCTCTTTAGCAACATCTTTGGATCTCCCTCCAACCACAAATGCGAAAATCGGGGCATAATTTCCGGCCATTTTGAGGTAGGAAACACGTAGAAAATGAAAGTACGTTTAACTTAGATCCAAATGATTAAACGAGAACAAAGGAAAAAAGAACAGTGGGTCTGCTGATGGTGTCTTCACTTTTCCTGCACTAATAGCTAATTTTTTTCTAGTGTGCTCCTTTGTGTTTCGGGGTTAGTGCTCCTGATACAGTGGAGGAGTGGATCGTGAAAATGTCAGAGTTTATTGACACGGCAAAGTTAACTTGTTTGATTAGAGAAAAAACAAGAAAACCCTTTTTGAAAGACTGGAAAACCTTATACGGACCTTTTGCTTAAAGAAGGGGAAAAAATGATACAATGCTTTATGGTTTTGAGGAGTGAAAAAGATGCAGATTAAGTGTGGGGTTGAAGGGATTTGTATAATATCCCAGATAATAACATTGAAATTAACTGTTAGAGAGAAGGTTGGAAGTCTCTCTCTTTCATAACTTTCATTTCTTTTCTTTTGCACTTTTTCTTTGCCTCTTGCTCTCTTTTTTTTCTTTAGCTTTATTTTTTACTTTATGTAAAACTCTGAATAAATATAACTTTTTACAAAAGGGTTAGTGCTTCTGCATTAATTCAGCTGCAGAGAGCCACCCTGTCTAAATGCTGCTTCAGATTCCCTGTTTCTTTATGGTTTTAGGCTCCTGGGTATGGATGCTCACAAGGCCCAGATTACAGACTACAGTACCGATTCAGATTGTAAACTGTTAGCTTCAGTGTCACTGGATGGCACTCTTAAGGTATTATTGACAGGGTTTAGGGGAGGGGGGAATACAGAGCTGGATTTAAGCATAAATTAAACCAGGTACAGCTTAGAGCCTCAATGTCTGAGGGGGGCTCTCAAAATTTCAGATTTTTTTAAAAATTGTTTTTTTAAAAGACAATTTCATATATGAAAGTCTATAAATTAAGCCTTCCTCTTTGGCTCACATGATCTGGTTAATTGATTAAAATATTTATTTATTTATTTATTTATTTATTTATTTATTTATTTATTTATTGAACCAATTTATATAGCCATAGCCCACAGGCGACTGAAGAAGAAACAAATATGCTTTGTTTCTGCATGCATTTGCCCCTTCTGTTCAAAGAGGGTCCTCCTCCACCCCATTATGGGTTGGATATGCATCTTGGTGGCATTTTTGCCGAGTTCAGTTGTTATGCTGCCTTCTTCTCTGTCAGCACTTGCCAAATAGAGCCGTTATAGCTTCTCATACTGTAGGGGCTCACCATGTCTAAGTCCAATCCTGGGGGCATAACTGCAAGAAGTATAAGCATTTACAAAACCCCACAGTTCTCATCGTTTTAAAAAATTTCTCAGCTCTGGGAATCTGCACGTGGACGTGTGCTCCACCAGTGGGACTTCCCGTGCCCTTTGAACTGCGTGACCTTTCACCCAAAGAATCAATTGGTGGCTACTGGTGGATGGGACAGATCTGTCACTGTCTTGGATACAAATGGAATGAGCAAGATCTCGGTGAGATTGAGAGGGACTCGGCATATAACTGGGAGGTGCATGATTGATGGACCAAGCAGTGAAACCTGGTCTGGGGATTCTGAGGAAGCAGACGGTTTTCTTTGACTGCCGTTGTCCCTTACAGGTGATGAAGGATCATGATGCCTCCATCCATTCCATTTCCTTCTCTTCCACTGGGAAAGTTTTGGCAGTGGGTACTTTGGCTGGTTCCATCACCCTCTGGTCGTGGCAGGAGGCCACCATCCTGGCTTCATTCATGGCTCACTCTGGCTGTGTCTCTGTGGCTCAGTTCCTTTCAGAAGGAAAACTTCTTACAGCAGGAGAAGACTGCAAGGTGCAACTTTGATAATACTGAATGATGTGAAAGGCTGGTGGGAGGGATGCAAGGAGATCTGGGCCATGGGGAAGTTGGTTGGATGTGGGTATTTGAAAATTCTGTTATGCTTACAATGTACTATTCATAAATCTTCAATTTCTACCAGTACATCGATGAATACAGATGATTTTGCAGATGGCCACACTAGATAGTCTGTAATGAGAAAAAAAACCTCAATAAAAGTAAGCCCTACAAATACGGGGCCAAACACCTTTTCCCCTATAAATTAAGCACATGAAATACCTGCAGTCTGTGGGTGGAAGAGAGAAGATTGAGACTGGGGATTTCTGAATAGCCCAAGAAGCCTGGCTGTAGGCAAGACCTGGTTTCTAGTTCACACCTTTCCAGCTCAGAAGCAGCCTGCAATATGGAGTGCACCAGTAGCTCTGCAGGATGAAAAACTATTGCGTTTGTTGTCATTTTCCAATCCCTTTATACAGCTGAAAACCCACTTTCATTATTAAATGAAGACACCTCCATCAATATGAAATCTGGCACAGTTTATGTTGGAGTTTAGCCACAAATCAGGACAAACCAATGAGGAATGGCTGAGTCATTGCAGTCTTTTTTTAAAAATGAAATTGCTTTGAGATTTTTGGCATTTTACAATTTTTTTATTTGCATGTGAATTCTTTTTTTTTTCAACGAAGTATATAAATATTGATAAACCTCAGTGTATGTGTTGTCTAACTGATAATTGTATCCGGATGCACAGGTCCAGATTTGCAAAGGCCGCTTGGGGCAACTTTGGAGCTCTTTAGGATCAGGAGCTCTTTCTCCGGCCCTGTGTATGGCCTCAAATCTTGATGGCAGCCGATTGGCCGTGGGACACCACTCGGATGGTGTCTGGATCTACAGTCATCCTTGGCGTAAGACAGTTATGGTTGGAAGTTTCTTCTGGGGGGGTGATACAGTGTAGTTCCTTCATTTACTATGGGGAACTGTGGCAGAAATCAATCAACCTTCCTTCCTTCCTTCCTTCCTTCCTTCCTTCCTTCCTTCCTTCCTTCCTTCCATCCATCCATCCATCCATCCCCCCCCCCATTGTTTGATGTCTGAAACTGACCATCAGTCTTTATTGCTTGATGTTTAGAAATTGTATTTAATTTTTAGGCTCTTTGGTGGCAACCCCAATTTGCTAAATGTTTCAGCTGGAGTTCTACTTGATGATAATTGTCCTAGATGAACTGTAATTTGAGGCAAAAGAACTAAGCAGAAGCCAGTATGGTGTAGGGATTAAGACTGGGGAGACCCACATATGTCCACTTCAGGGTGACTTTGGAACACATTCTCCCAGCCCAGCCTACTTCAAGTTGATTGTTGTAGGGGAAAGAGAAGAGATGATTAGATATGCTGTCTTGAAATATTGAAAGGAAACATGGTATATAAAACAAAGAATGAGTAAAACTGAGAGTGTTTGGAATGTAGAGCATTTCTAAGAAGTCTCTTGGATAAGAAGACTTGGAGTTATTCTCCTCAGATGTTTGAGAAGCTCATTTTAATTCTTAAAACTACAGGGTTGGGTCTAGATCCACAAATGTCCTACAGTAAATTATGCCACTGGACAGTTCCTGTGAGCTTTCTCGTGGCATACTTTGTTGTAGAAGCAGCATACAGTCAGGTCCAGAAATATTGGGACATCGACACAATTCTAACATCTTTGGCTCTA